TGTGGATTTAGCAATTTAATTACATAATCCTTATGCAAATTAGCTGCCAAGTTGGTAAAAAGTAGGAGGGTTATGAGGAGTTACAAATTCAAATTAGATCATATAAATATGTGAAACTGGGAAGGAAAATGGCAGAAGACTGTATTGTAACTGCTGGGATTGGTCAATGGGCTGAACTTGATCTGGTTTCTTTGAGGTTCTAGAGACTCAAATTGACTTAAAATTGGCTTAAAAACTTACTTAAAACTTTTTCCTAACTTGGTAGGTGAATCTGCTACCAGATACCCTGAATAGGATGATCAAAACACCCTCTGATATAGTGTGCTGTCTGCTGCAGCATCTGCAGAGGGCTCTGACACACTAATCAGGCTCACCAATATTGTCTTTCCTGCAGCTATAACAAACCCATCAAACTTACGGAGGAAGGAGTGACATCTTCCCCCTTACAGGGTGGAGGTAAACCCCTTACTGGGGTAAAAGGCCCCCTTAACATAGCAGTAGTTATTGGTCTGTTCTGTTTTATTCAATTGGAGAAGGCTTCCACTTAGCAAGAAAGGCTTTTTTGCCACTTACACTTTCTTTACTCTTCTGGTTAGCCATACTCAGCAGATATAAGTGTTTTGAGACCCTTCGTTTTTTTTTTCTTTTTTTTTAAGACTAAAGCCTTAATAAACATTCTTCATGACTCCTGAAAACATTTTATCCCTTTAGCTGCTTTTCAGGTAATCTTTTAACTGTGGGGTGGGGTTTTTTTTTGGTTTTGTTTTTTTTTTTAAAAAAAAATTTACAGTTTTTTTTCTGTAAAAGAAAAAAAAATTGTTCAGTTGAATTATGAACTTTTTTTTTTGTTTTTTACTTCTCTGAGGTAAGAAATCACCATGATCACTATTAAAATAATTTTTTGATCAATTATTGTGCTTCCTTCATGAATAAATCAAAAGATTTCGTTTCTGTGATTTGTTAAAGGGAAATTGCTCCAAAAAGCATTTGTGTTTAAAGAAATGCAACATTTTGTAACGCAACGTTCACCAGTCTATGTGTGAACAATTGACTTCTCCCATTATTATTATTAGGGTTATGATTATACCTTTCTTAATATTTTACAAACATTTTCAACATCCTGTCTGGGTCATTGCTCTCTAATTTTAAAATCTTCAGATACGGCATTTCAAGCTACTGGGGTGTGTGCTATGTTTGCTGTGGCTAAATTCTCTGTACATTTGATCAAGCTGACTATTTGTAAGAGGCCTGGTGACCATAGACATTTATTTTCTTATTCCATTGATCTTATTGTTTCCTGCCTTAATTCTAGTCAGAATAATTTTGCTGTATCCTGTTACTAAATTTAAAATCCTCTTTCTTACATAAATTTCTCAGACACCTAGGGCAGTTCTGTCTCTGTTTGGCAATGCACATAAATTCAGTTCCCTCTAGAACCAATCTGTATGTTATTAGCCATTATGTGCTCTGCAAACACCAGATCTGTCCCAGCTCTCTCTGGAAGAACATAATGTAACATAACACAACACAGCGCAATGCAATGCAACACAACGCAATGCAACAGAGTAGAATAGAGTAGAGTAGAATAGAGTAGAGTAGGGTAGAGTAGAGTAGAGCAGAGTGGAACAGAGTGTGATGGGCTGGAATAAGATGGGATAGGATAGGGTAGGGTTCCGTTGCAAGGGACCTACAATGATCAGCTATTCCAACTGCCCGACCAATTGAGGACTGACCAGAAGTTAAAGCATGTTGTTAAGGGCATTGTCCAAATGCCTCTTAAACACTGACAGGCTTGGGGCATCAACTACCTCTCTAGGAATCCTGTTCCAGTGTTTGACTGCTCTCTTAATGGCAGCTTTGAATAGTCCCATGTGTCTTATCACTGGATACCAGAGACTACAGCTCGGCACCTCTCTCTCCTCTTCCCCATCCTCAGAAATGTGACCACCACTCAGCTTCCTTTTCTCCAAACTAGACAAGCCCAAAGCCCACAGCTGCTCTTCATAAGGCATTCCTTCCAGCCCTTTCACTGGCTTTGTTGCCCTCTTCTGAACACATTCAAGGACCTTCACACATTCAAGGACCTTCACACATTCAAGGACCTTCACACCCTTCTTAAACTCTGCAGACCAGAACAGGAGACAGTTAAGGTGAGGCCACACCAATGCTGAATACAGTGGGATAATAACCTCCTTTGACGAGCTGGCTATACTGTGTTTGATGTGATTTGTCCTCCTGGCTGCTGAAGCACACTACTGACTCCTACCTGAGCCTGCTGCCAATCAGCACCCCTGGATCCTTTTCTGCAGGGCTGCTCTCCAGCCACTCCTCTTCCAGTTTATACTTGTGCCTGGCATTACTCTGTCACAGGTGCAAAAATCCAGCATTTTAACTTGTTAAATTTCATCCCCTAATAATTGCTCAATGAACTAATCTATCTAGATTACTCTGCAAGGCATCTTGTCCCTCAGGAGAGACAGCAGCACCTCCCAGTTTGGTATCATCATCAAACTTTCAAGAACTGAGGGCTTGTAATCAGAAAAATTATCATTTGGGTGAACTTTGCTTTTTCATCGAAGTGGCTTACTGAATATGTTCACCTTAGATTTAAAATTAAAGTGTAATTTTTATGGATACATAAATGACCAGAAATACTCAATTCTATTTCACTTTATTTCATTAAGGATAAATCCTTCTCATTTTTGTTACTACTGCTTCCTTAGGAGAAAAGTATGATGTTACCAGGCAGTTAGGATCACGTTGTTTCACAATTGTGGTTTAAAACCAGGCAGAGGGCTCGTTCACTCACTCCACCCCTTCTTTCCCTACCCCTACTCCCAGAGGGACTGAGAGAAGAATCGAAAAGAATGCAACTCCCATGGGTTGAGATAAGAACAGTTTAGTAACTAAGGTGTAACACAAATCACTACTGCTACTACCAATAATAACAAGGATAAAGGAAAGAACAAGGGAAGAGAATACATCACCTCACTACCAGCTGACCAATAACTCACCCCCCCAGCCCGACCAAGCACTGACCCATACCTCCTCCAGCCCTGCAGACTCCCAGCCCTTCCGGCTAACTCCCAGTTACATCCTGGGCATGACGTGCTGTGGTATGGAATACGTCCTTGGCTAGCCTGGGTCAGGCACCCCATCTCTGCTTCCTCCTGGCTTCACCTCCTCCCTGGCAGAGCATGAGCCTCACAAAGTCCTTGGTCAGGGTAAACATCACTTAGCAACAACCGAAAACATAGGTATCACCATCACTGTTCCCAGGCTGGAAGTCAAAACACAGCACTGCACCAGCTACCACGAAGGAGAAACATGACTGCTACTGCTGAACCCAGGACAACAATGCAAAAGCCAAATTTGCCTGCAAATATATTTGAAAAATCACAGTGCAGTGACCACATAAACAGTGGTGGTAGATATTTCTGGAAAGTTATTAAAGGGGAACACCTACAAGAAGCCAATCTGATATTGATTTATAAAGGAGAGAGACAAGTAGTTAGGAACTGTTAAATTCAATTCCTATTCCATTAAGTAATGGAACACATAGAAAGAAGTATACCTATCTTGAGAATAGCAGGGCTGCAAGAATAGGTTTGTAAAGAATATGAGCCAAACCTCAGGGAATTTGGGGGGAGGGATTTTTTTTTTTTTTTTTTTTTGCAAAATACTCAATGAAATTATTAAATTGATGTGATATGGTGTGTTAAGATTGAGAACAGCCCTAAGGAGAATTTCAGAACAAGTGAAAAATTTTGTGATATTTTAAACTAAACTAGCCAATAAATTTACTGTAGGGAAATAACCCTAAATTAGTGTGAGAATAAATTAAATGACCCAATTACAGATGCTCTTCTATGAAAGAAAAAGTTGTGTATTAAGGGCTTAGCTAAACTCCCACTGCAATCAATGGAAAGACTCCAGATGGAGCAGACTCAAATAATCACTTCTCAGTCTTCTGGTAAATTTTTTTTTTAAGTAATATATACTCCAGGTTAAGGTAGATTTGAAGTTTGAGAATTCTATTTTACTTAGTTCTAAAAAATAACATAAATAAATTATTGCAATAGCAAATTCATGTGGTTTGTGTACATAGAATCATATTATAGTTTGGGTTGGAAAGGATCTTAAGATCAACTAGTTTTGCAACTCTTAAGAGCATGTAGACAAAGATCTATGCATGTCCAGCTGGAGACCAGTAATGAGTGATGTCCTTCAGGGATCGGCGTTGGGACCAGTCTTGGTCAACGTCTTTGTTGGTGACACGGACAGTGGGATTGAGTGCACCCTCAGCAAGTTTGCCAATGACACCAAGCTCTGTGGTTCAGTTGATACTCTGAGGGAAGTAATGCCATCCAGAGGGACCTCGACACGCTTGTGAGGTTGGCTGATGCCAACCTTATGTAGTTTAACCATGATAAATGCAAGGTCCTACAGCTGGGTCGGAGCAATCCCAGGCACAGCTACAGGTTGGGCAGAGAAGAGATTCAGAGCAGCCCTGCGGAGAAGGACTTGGGAGTGTTGGTCAATGAGAAATTTAACATGAGGCAGCAGTGTGTGCTCGCAGCCCAGAAAGCCAACCGTATCCTGGGCTGCATCAAAATGAATGTGATTAGCAGGTTGAAGAAGGTGATCCTGCCCCTCTATTCTGCTCTCATGAGACCTCACCTGGTGTATTGTGTGCAGTTCTGGTGTCCTCAACATAAAAAGGACATGGAACTGTTGGAACAAGTCCAGAGGAGGGCCACGAGGATGATCAGGGGACTGGAGCACCTCCCGTATGAAGACAGATAATTTCATAGAATAGAATTTCATATTGAGAAAGCTGGGGCTGTTCAGCCTGGAGAAGGCTGCATGTAAACCTCAGAGCAGCCTTCCAGTTTCTGAAGGGGGCTTATAAGAATGCTGGGGATGCTGGGGAGGGACTCTTCATTAGGGACTGATGTGATAGGACAAGGGGTAACGGGTTAAAATTTAAATGGGGGAAGTTTAGATTGGATATAAGGAAGAAGTTCTTTACTGTTAGGGTGGTGAGGCACTGGAATGGGTTGTCCAGGGAAGCTGTGAATGCTCCATCCCTGGCGGTGTTCAAGGCCGGGTTGGACAGAGCCTTGGATGACATGGTTTAGTGTGAGGTGCCCCTGCCCATGGCAGGGGGGTTGGAACTAGATGATCTTAAGGTCCTTTCCAACCCTAACTATTCTATGATTCTATGTTTTCCCAAGCTTTCAAAGCTATGGCATTTCTGGGTTTGTTTTGCCGTAGGGACATCTTGAGGAGAACTTACGTCTTTAACAAGTACAAGAAAAAGGAAAGTTGGCAAGAGTAACCTAAAGAACTACAGCTCTCAGTGTAAGAGTAAGATGTTAAGTTGAACTTTACTTGTGCAATGGGTGCTCCAAATAAATAATTAAAGTATTTGCATTAACCTAAGCTTTAAAAAAAAAAGCCATACTCTTATGAGTGTTTGAGTCCTTTGTTTATTTTTAAATTTTTTAGAAGATACTTTGATTTTTGAACTTCAGGATAAGTTCATCTAAACACACTTTATCGTTTCCTTGGTTATGGAATTTTATATGCAACCAAAACGGCTGAGGGAAAAAGAAAAACAAGGGGGGGGGGGGAAGGTTCCCAAAATTGTGAGGTATATTTGCGGTTTAGTGCAAAGAATACAAAGCTACTTTAAAGTAGCACTTCTGTTTAAAAAGTCAAATAAGAGCCAAGTTTGTTACTGAAACACCCTTTTTTTTTTTTCTTTTTGTAAAGAAGCTTGAACATTTTAAACTGCTACAAAATGTAACATCCAGACTAGGCAGAAACAGGACTGTCTGCTTTAGAAGCTCGGCTACCCACAGTCATCCGCAGTTTGTATGCAACTTGTGTGAAAGGGGAATGCTGTGGATTCCTCTCCCGTTTAGCTTATTACTAGCAATAAATTTGCAGAGGCAGTTGGTCTAATTTAAATTTTTACCTTCTCTTCAGAATGTAAATGAAAAGTATTGAAACTTCAGAAGGTAAGTTGCCTCTGAAGCATTGTAGAACTTTGCTGCTAGGCAGGAGGGAGGGGCAAGACAGTATGCATTCAGTAGTGACATTTCTGCTAAAGCCTATAGTAGGTCTTGAGCAACTCACTAAAGTAGTTTGCAATAGAAAAAAAACTTTCATGGGGGGGTTAAATATATTTATTCTAATCTCATACTATTTCTAATGTATTAAGACTAAATCCTCTCATTCTTTTTCATTAAAAACCCAGTGATGAAACATGTCCAATTTTATGTTCATTGATACTAATGATAAACTGTTCATTAATTTCAGTGGTCCACCATCAAGGCCTTCTTTTCTGTTTTTAAACAAGGGGAGAAATAGAAAAGTCATTATAATTACTTATAATTAATCTTTCCCTAGAAACACTTTCACTTTTTATTTGTACTACTGTTCTGCAAAGCCTCATCTAACCCTGATAACATGTAAATGTGTGATCTGCAGTTCTGTAATTCAGCATGCAAACACATTAACAACACACAATATATGAATTGCAGCAGCATAGCTCACATTCTGTCAGGTATTACAGTTTCATTATCCCTTTCCCAGTCACACCCATCATCACTTCTATGCAAGTAAGAACATGGAAAGTATAAAACATACAGAAACAAGCACTAAAGTTGTATGAAGAACATCAGAAAAGACCACAAATGTAAACAGAACTATCTCACATTTCATGTAATGAATATTTAAAAAGCTTAATCACCTAGATGTTGTGAGCAAAATACAAACTGTTCTTCAGGAAAATATACAGTTATGAGACTGTTGTCATTAAAACATTAATATCAATGGCATTTGACCTTAGGAGACACTTTCAAATGGAAAAATGTATTTTGAGTAAAATGTCATTTTCCAAAATCCAGGCATACTTACTTTATAAACTCTAATAAATTGAGTCTTTAAAATACTAAAAAATGTAGATGATACTATTCTAATATTAAATACTGTTAGTATTTAATTTAAAACGTTAATATATACAATTTGAGTGCCAGAAAATTAAATTAAGAACTACTCTTGACAACGTCGTCACTCAGAATCTTTTACTGACAAATGCAGAAAAAATGAAAATGTCAATCTGATTCACTTTCTTTTAAAAATAAAATTAAAAAAACTCCCAAACCAAACTAAAGCAACCACAACAAAATCCAACCGACTAAATAAACAAACCAGAAAGTGGAAATAACTTGAACCTGAAGCTTCTGAGTTGAGAGTGCTGAAAGCAGTGTTCTAGCTTTATTTGACGTCAATAATTCCAAGAAATTTTTTTAGCTGCAGAGATATTTTAAAAATACTACCTCTAGGGATATGGAAATGGTTGAAAGTATAGAAGTGTCTGGAAATATTTCTTTGCACAAGAAATAACTAAAGATGTCACTTTACCTAAAACTGAATCTTACAAATACTTATGAACATGACAACTGACTCTGTAATGCATGTTCTGATGTGCCAAAGTCTTCATGTGTGCAAGTGTCAAAAGGTCTGAAGATTCGTGCTTTTACCATGATAATCCCTTGAATAGAAGTATATACACCAGGAAATATAAACCTTTTGAATAGAATTTTAAGTTTCTGTGCTGTTTTAGTGGAAATGTTTTTTTAATTTTTTTTTTTTAATGGGTTGATAGATTTCTACAAGCACACATATGTGGTCTACAATAATATGCCAATACATCACTTTTGTTCAGGAAAATGGCATTTAGAAAATTTCAGTAAAAGTTTAGTGTTCAGAAAGAATAAGGAGTTGATAAGCAAGCAATTAAGAAGCTGGGTAGAAAACTACATTTATATCGTACAGGTTAGGAAATGTTTATGTGTGATAAAAATACGTTTAGTTATTCATAAGATGTGGACTGCTTTATACTAACTAAAAAGATCAATGAGAGGGTAAAGATACAATGTGTGTTTTGCAGGTGATAATTTCAATTCTGTAAGCTGAGCTATTTGATAAAGTGTCCAAACACTGGAAATGAGATTTCAAGGGCAGCATTAAGAGGAACTTCCAAAATTGTCTTAAAGTACTCATATGCAAATAAGAACCATTTAAAGGCGATGAAATGTTTTTTCCTCCAGTTCTTAGCCACAACCTATTCCTTCCCTCTATAAGTGGTTAGTTAATCCTGACTTCATCTGAAAAATAGAAATCAAAATTCTTCTGAACACTGGAACACGCTACATGAGCTAGTGTGTAACCACAAGCTCATGTAGCTAGTGGTTACATGAGTTACATACATCACTCATACATCAGTGAAGTCACTAGAACACTTTCTAATAATTTCACTGGATTCTATATCAAACCTAAAAAAAAGTTAAAACTCAGTAAAAGTAATAGAAGAGCTTTCTTTATAAATTCATGTAGGCAAAATGGACATTCTTTAAGAAGGAAATATTAATGGTGCAGCCTGTCCCCATGCCAAAATAAAAGCTGTTGGGGAAGACCAGCCTGGCTGAACAGAGAGCTTTGACTGGAACTCAGGAGAAAAAGAGTTTATGACTTTTGGAAGAAGGGACCTGCTACATCACTTAGACACACACCAGATGGGCTCCAGCCAAGGGTACTGAAGGACTAACTGAAGTGCTCACCAAGCTATTTTCAATCATTTCTCAGCAGTCCTGGCTAACTGAGGAGGTCCCAGTTGATCAAAAGTTCACAAGTGTGACAGCCATCTATAAGAAGGGCCAGAAGGAGGATCCAATAAACTACAGGACTGTCAGTCTGATATCAGTGCCAAGGGCGGTTATGAAGTAGATCATCTTAAGTGCCATCACATGGCATGTACAGATGATCAGGCCTAGTCAGTATGGGTTTATGAAAGACAGGTCCTGCTCGACTAACTCAACCTCCCTCTTAAGGTGACCTGCTTAGGGGATGAAGGAAAGGCTGTAGATGTTTTCTACCTAGACTTCAGTAAAGCCTTTGATACCATTGATCATAGCATTCTGCTAGAGAAACTGATTGCTCATAGCTTGGATAAGTGTACTGTTCACTGCGTAAAAGAACCGGCTGGATGACCAAGGCCAAAGAGTGTTGGTAAATGAATTTAACTCCACTTGGCAGATGATCACAAGTGCTAATATGGATGAGGGGGTCAAGAGTACCCTCAGTAAGTCTGCAGACAACACGAAGTTGGGCAGAGGTTTTATCTGCCTGAAGGTAGGCAGGGTCTACAGAAGGGTCTGGACAGGCTGGATCTATGGTCTGAAGCCAGTTGTATGAGGTTCAACAAGGCAAAGTGCCAGGTTCTGCACTTGGGCCACAATAACCCCATGCAATGCTACAGGTGTCCTAGGTTCAACACTTAAACCACAACAATAGGCATGGAGGAAAAGTCACTAGAAAGGGCCTGGAGATGTTGACGGCAGGCTGAATATGAGCCAGCAGTGTGCCAGGTGTCCAAGAAGGACAAATAGCATCCTGGCTTGTATCATAAATAGTGTGGCCAACAGGACTAGGTAAGGAATCATCCCCCTGTACTCAGCACTGTTGAGACTGCACTGCAAATTCTATGTTCAGCTTTGGGCCCCCCCTCACTACAAGAAAGATATTAAGGTACTGGAGTGTATGCAAACAGCATTGAAGCTGTTGAAGGGCCTAAATCACAAGTCTTATAAGGAGTGCCTGAGCAAACTGGGGTTGTTTAGTGTGGGGAAGAGGAGGCTCAGGGGAGACCTTATCACTGTCTACAACTACCTGAAAGAAGGTTGTAATAAGGTGGGTGTTACTCTTCTTTCTAGTAACAAGTGACAGAACAAGAGGAAATGGCCCCAGGTTGCACCAGGGGAGGTTTACATTGGTTCTTTGGGAAAAAGTCTTCACCAAAAGGGTTGTCAAGCATTGGAACAGGCTGACAAGGGAACTAGTTGAGTCACCATCTCGGGAAGTATTTAAAAGAAATGCAGATGTGGCACTTAGAGATATGGTTTAGGGGTGGACTTGGCAGTGTCAACAGTCAGACCCAATGACCTTGAAGGTCTTTTCCAACCTGAACGATTGTTTAGTTTGGGGTCTAGGATTCTATGACTCTATATTTAAAATCTCAAGTTTAAATTTTAACATCTTATGTGAGGAAGATCATTTAAGTGGTGTCATGCATTTGGACACGTAAGCAAATTTTCACAGTTTTGAGATTCATCTGCAAATTTCTATTTTCCCTTCTTACACTGGTTGAGTATTATGGATCCAGAAAAATACATCTGCTCATCTATTTGTAATACTTACAACATACCATAGTATTAACATATCTGATGCACTGACTAACTGATGTTCAGGATTTCAGCAATTCAATCTCTACGTTCACATTCTCACTTCCTGAGAAACTAACAGACTTGCTGTTGTCCAGGGGATCATAGTTTGCAAATAACTACTTGTAGAGCTTATGGAGGCAAGAATTGTCTTATTCTTATCTGTCTATACATCCCATGTCTAACTGGGGAATGGGATTTATAAATAATAAATTAACAACAGTAATAAATTCACTTTACCAGACTGCAAGAGTTCATTCTATAACCAAGATGTTTTGTGTGAAACTAACTGCACTGAACTGCTATTTCTTCTCTGTTCCAACACAGTGTTCAAGATGATTTCCATACAAATAAATTCAACTATCTTCAACGTAATTCCTGAACTATGCCTCCATGAAATCACCCTGATAACTGGAATTCTTCTTGAGAATCAGGTACTGTAGTACAAGTCAAGAAACAAAATTTCAATATTGCCATAGCACTTGTAAGAGCACCTAATTTATACTTTGATGGATACAAAATTAAAAAGCAGTCTATTGGTGCTGGCTGTCGGGTGGTTTTCAGCAATGTTTGCCACTCATATGCAACATTTTGTTTATGAAGGAATATAACAAAGTTTTCCTTTGCTGGGTTTTTAGTTTTCACACTGTGGAGTGTTTACTCTAGGCAAAAAGATAACTTTCTCCAGAAAAGGAATTTTTAAAAAGGAGTACACATTTCTGATAGTTGAATGTTGCAAAAAGTCAAGATCTGAAGGCATAAACTATGCAAGCTCTGTAAAAAGTAAGATTCAGTGTATACAGATAAATTAACAAAGAAGGCCGAGAGATGTATAGTTTTATAAAAGCATCTTTGTGTGCGTGTGTTCTTCACCTCCTTTTTCTATATAAGAGGTGGAAGAGTTTACTCCCTTTTCTGTTTTGAAATGTGAGGCCTTATGATAAATGGATCTAGCAATGACACATAGAGATTTCTGATTATATTATTTGTCTTCAGTGCAAGTAGACATAACTTCCTGTTTGTATCTTCTCCATCTCTTTTCTGTTACATCAAAAATGCCAAGATTTTAAAGAAGTGCTTTTCCCTGCAATATCTTGAAAGCATAAGTAAAATGAAATGCAGCGAGTATTTAAGACTTAAGATCTGACAAAATATTGCTAACTAAAATTTTGCAATGTATTTTTTATTCAGCTCTGCACATACCAGTCTTAGGTTGAATGAATGAATGAAATGGAACTGTGCACACACAAATAATATGCAGCAATAGATACACACACTACACAGAATTACAAAAACTCAGCACCACAGTGGGGAAGCATTAAAAGTCCTGAAACACGTACCTCTTATTCATGTCTGATAATAAATTTTAACTAGGTAACTGTCACTGAGAAAACGTGACTCTTAAAGTAAGATTCTAAGAAATTTAAATAATGGCAACTTGGTACCAGCCATTAAAACTAAAAGCATGCAACACTAGAAGTGTTTTTGAGCTGCCTGGCAAATATGCATAGTGATTTCAAAAGTAGAAGTCAAAAGTGATTCAGTTTTACTTTATTATTTAGTTTGAAGTGCTTAAATTGCTCAATAATTATATATTTAATATATGTACTTGACACAATATCATTTTATTTGATACATCATTATATTTTTGTTAATAACAAATGAGCAAGGAGACAATATGCAATAGAGAATGATTTCACACCCTGCTCACAGAAAAGTAGAGGATGTCATGATATCCTGGAAAATATTTTCAGGTATAGCAGTATTAGTTCTTTTCCTGCTCTTAGTTTAATTCTCAAGCCATTTGGGCTCTAGCTTTGGCGTAATATTCTTACACTTTTAAAGTAAGCCTTTCATCTTTGACTTCTTGTCACAGCGGAATTTAACTGGTGTGGCCAGAAGGACCAAACCATACCACTTAGTGACACAGAGCTTAAAACTTAATGAGATCTCCACTCACAATGCCTGTTTCTGTTCTAAGATTCTTTTTCTGCAACACACATAACAAACCTCTACCAAGCAAGCCCCCTGCCCTCTGCCCAGTGCATACCAGCGGCACCCAAAACACCCCCAGGGAAGAGAAATATTGCTCTGATCCTTCAAAAGGGTGGTGGCCTGGCTCCCTCGTCCAGCAATGCCCCCCTCCTCTACACCACTGAGTATCTCTGGATGTGCCACTCCACCCCAGGGGACTACTTTTTCAACTTTGAATTATTTTCTGTATCAGTTGTCATCATAAACCAGTAATGGTAATGTTAATAATGAGTCTGGGCACAGTCCTT